GAGGCTGTGTTGAATAAGGTGAAGGAGAAATGAATTAATTGTTTGGGGGGAGGGCAAAAGGGGAAGTTTGTGATGATGGAGGAATTTATTAAAGCAAGTTGAAGAGTCACAGGGTATTAAGGATATTGGAAATAACACCTTTAGTTTGTCTTCTACAATGGTGCTCACCATATACCTGGCTCTCACGGTTCTGCAAGAAATAGCAGTGCTCAGGTTATGCGTTAGAAAACTGTGTTTATCTACTTCTTCTGGGTATTTCTATAATACATTCACAGTGGCTTCTAAAGCATAATTCAATGCATATGTTGTCTTCATCCTTGTCGCCTGATATAGCCATTAATAAGGCTTTATATATGTTAGAAGAAAAATATAAAAACTTAAATGATTGTGGGTCAAAAGCTACGTTTTTGAATAAAATCAACACTCTAATTGATGAAGAGATCGTAACTCCAAAAGCATCATTATGTATTGAAAATAGAGGCTGACTAGCTTCCACTAAATGTGATCTTCTACTCAGTGAACATCAAGATAAAGCTGCTAAAAAAAATGCATTCAAGCTTATAAAGAATTTGCAAAATTCATACCAACCACAACGACTTTTATATTACGATCAAATACCTATTTATATGTATGAGTATATAAAAAAGGTAATCAATATGGATAGAGATGGTAATTGTGGCTACAGAGTACTAGCAGTATGTTTAGGAAAAAGTGAAAATGAATGGTCAAAAATATGAAAAGAATTGCAAAAAGAGTTGATTGAAAAAGAACAATTTTACTGGATCTTGTTTTTAGCTAATGATGATTATGAAACAATTATAAGAGAAATCTCATGGATAGATAGCCCCTGCATATTCGAGCACTGGATGCGAATGCCACAGATGGGAAATGTTATAGCTAATACTTACCAAAGGCTATTATACTTTTTTTCACTACAGATTAATCTTACTTTTCTTCCACATTACCAACCATTAAATTGGAATAAAGCTCTTGCAATAGCTATTGTTAATAATAATCACTATGTAACTATTACATTAAAACCTGGTGCTCCCATACCTCCAATTATAAATCGATGGTCACAATTTGCTACCCAACTGCAGAAAGATGAAAACTACTAATTCAAAACTGTATCGACCAATTTCTTCTAATAAGTAGTTAAGCTTATAAAACAGATCTAAAAATGAATTAGGTACAAAAAATTAAATTTTAAATATAATAAAAAGTAAAAGTTAAAAATACTTCGTAGTTAGGCTTTAATTATAATTAAATAGAATACAATACCAGTAGTTAACTTTTATCTTACAAGTTTCATTAATAAT